GGTCAGGATGGGGTCCATGAGGGGTCTGGATACCGAGGTTGAACGGATTTGGTTCACAGGAGGACCACGACAGGTTTGCACCGCGTTGATGTGGCGTCGACCCCAACTGGGCTGTTCACGATTGAAGGCTGCCAGGGGTCTGGAATCGGCCGATATCGAACGATCGGCGCTATCGCAAAGCCACGATCGTTCAACCGAGATCGAACGTCTGCGCTATCGAGCAGTCGCGATCGTTCAAGGGCGAACGATGCAAGTGGTGTCAGAAACCAGCCCCGACGTCAGCGCGACGAACCTGTCTCGGCTCAGCTAATCTAACAGATTTCACATGTGCTTCTTCACCTCTCGTCGCTTCGCGTCTAGCTTTGTGTAGTCTAGCCCAGCCTAGCGAGCTTCAGCTTGTCTTGTCCAGCCTTGCAGAAGCAACATCAGCAGCTCGGGCCCTCGGACTGTGGACAATGGATTCACCGCCGGAGCGGTTCTGCCACATCAGCGTTCTGGCAGCGGCAGTGGCAGTGCCGGACCGAGTGCGTGCCTTCGTCTCATATGTAAGAAAGAGAGAGAGAGAGAGAGACAGACAGAGAGAGAGAGAGAGGGGAAAAGAGAGAGAGAGAGAATTAACAGAGAATCCGCGCCGCATGAAGACGCGCCGCTGTAGTACCAGCAAAATGGGGCAGGCCTAGCCTGCCTCAGCTTTTCTCAGCACAACAGTTCCGTACTCAGTGCATCGTCGTGCAGGTTCGCTCAGCTTTGGTTTGTTTCCCCTCGCTTTGCTCGGCCTTGCCTAGTCTGGATCAGCTCATATGTCTCTTTTTTCAGTTCCTTTGTGCGGTTCTTTGTTCATTAAGCGACATCTACACATATTGCAGTTGTTCATCATTATTTGATGCCAGGTGTGTGAAGAACTTCCTTGAAGCCGCCCCTTACTGAGAAAATTGTAGGTCGTGCTCATCTAGTGCGTGACGTGCGTCCATGCCGATAGCGATGACGATGACGAAGACGGCGATCACAATGTTGACGATGACGATGACGATGACGATGGCGATGGCGATGGCGATGACCATGATGATGATGCTGATGATGATGATAGCTATGACGATGGTGAACATCATAGTGATGATGATACAGATGCTGCTGTTGATGACGATGATACTGATGCTGATGATGATAATGATTATGACTATGACGATGATGACGATACGGAAGCTGATACAAGTGATGGTGATGATGATTATGCTGATGACGATAACTATGATGATGTTGTTGATAATGATGATTATGCTGATGATGATGCGGATTCTGACGATGATGATGCTGATGCTGCTGATGTTGGTTATTTTGATGATGCTCATGGTTCTGGTGATGCTGATGGCGATGACGATGCTGATGATGCTGATGATAATGATGATGATGATGCTGATGATGATGATTCTGATGATGCTGCTGATGCTGATGATGATGCTGATGATGCTGATTGATGACGCTGATGCTGCTGATGATGCTGATGCTGCTGATGATGCGGATGATGATACAACGCTGCTGCTACTACTTCTGCTGCTGATGATTATTCCGATGATCTTGATGGTGATGAGGATGCTGCTGATTATGATTATGATGACTGATTATGCTGCTGATGCTGCTGATGCTGCTGCTGCTGATGATTATGATGATGCTGATGAAGATGCTGCTGATGCTGCTGATGATGATGCTGATGAGGATGAATATGACAATGAAGATGACGATGACTATGATGATGAGTTTTATTCTGATGATGACGATGATGACGATGATGACGATGATCATCATCATGGTGGTGGTGGTGACGATGATGATGCTGTTGATGACGATGATGAGTATGCTGATGATGGGTATGTTGATGATGATGCTACTGCTGCTGCTGCTGCTGATGATGATGATGATGATGATGCTTCTGCTGCTGCTGATGGTTATGGTGATGTTCACGCAAGTCTATTTTCAACCCAGAATTGCGCGAAACCAAGCTTGGTTTGATGGCTGCAACGAGTCTGCTTGCTCGTGCTGCTGGCGGGCGGTGGGCCGCGGGTGTCCCGCTGGTGTCCCGACGGTGAATAATAGTAAAAATGATGTCAGCGCGTGGACACCAAACAGTTCCTTAATGCAGCACGTGTGAGCTCATTGCGCGCGGAGCGCCATGCGTGTGGAACGCCATGTGTCAGAATCCTTGCGTGTGTGTGCGTGTGTCCCCCGGCGCTGGCCCCGCCACACCCCTGGGCTGCTCTGAGCGTGCCCGTCTCCTCCCTGCCCCCCTCCTGGACCAGCGCTCATCGCCCTCTCCCCCCTCTGCATGTTGGCTGAATTCGCCCAGCGCGCCCCGTTTTGCTTGACTCGCCGGCGCAGTCCCCCTGCCTAGCCGCCGACGCAAGAGAGTGCGTGCGCGCGCGCGCGCGCGCGCGTGTGTGTGTGTGTGTGTGTGTGTGTGTGTGTGTGTGTGTGTGTTGTGTGTGTGTGTGCGTGGTGTGTGTGCGTGTGTGTGCGTGTGTGTGTGTGTGTGTGTGTGTGTGTGTGTGTGTGTGTGTGTGTGTGTGTGTGTGTGTGTGTGTGTGTGTGTGTGTGTGTGTGTGTGTGTGTGTGTGTGTGTGCGTGCGCGTGTGTGTGTGTGTGTGTGTGCGTGTGTGTGTGTGTGTGTGTGTGTGTGTGTGTGTGCGTGCGTGCGGGTGCGTGCGTGCGTGCGTGCGTGCGTGCGTGCGTGCGTGTGTGCGCGTGTGGAGGGGGCCCTGCCTCCGTGGCCGCCCTCGTCTTCTCCGCCCGCGCCGGTGTGCTTCCGCGCGCCGCGCCCCGCTGGCTCTCCACGGCGCGCTCGCGACCGCCGGCCCTCTCCCCACCAAACGGTGTGGAGGGCCATTTAACGGGCGAAGAACGGTATAAAATAAACTGTTTCGCCGTCGGGGGCACCTGCCCCTGGGCGGCTGGAAAGTTTATACCCTTCTGGTGCCACCGTAGGGGTATAAACTTTCCAGCCGCCCAGGGGCAGGTGTCCCCGACGGCGAAAAAGTTTATTTTATACCGTTCTTCGCCCGTTAAGCCATGGCGGCCCAAGATCGCACGCGCGAGGGTGGCACGCAAGGCAAGTGGACCGTCGAGGGATAAATCCTTGCATCGCTGGCATCCTTCCTCTACCTGCGGACTCCTTCGCACGGACCGCTCGGCCTTTCGACACAGGGTGTCCGAGACGGGGCGACGCGGTTCACGCAACAGCCGCCACGGGCCATGGGCTGCGCACGGAAGCAGCGGAGCGGGGAGCCGTACCAGTCTAAGGCTGAGAATAGCCGTGCGCATGCGAATCACACGGCTGATGATGCTGCTGTCAGTGAGAGTTTTACAGACAGCATTACGCACATGTCTCAGCTCACCGCCAGTAAGCCAGTCTAGAATGCCTTCGCTTAGATGTAATTACGTCGCTGCGTTGTGCGTGGCTTAGCGTGGCGAACTTCGCTTGGCCGAGCCTAGTGCGTCATGTATACACGCACATCAACGCATGTGTGTCTACGTATAAGATAGATGTGTACATTTAGATGTGTGTGTGTGTGCACATTTGTTGAACCGTGCTTTCTGGACACGACCTTGTCTTGGTTCAGGCTGTGCCCTTGCTCCTTCGGCCCGCCTTTTGCCGTTCTCGCTGGCCGCCCGCCGCCCAACACATCGGAGCGATGCAAACCAAATCAGGAGGAAAAGAAACACACAGACACAATTAATCGTCGATTCCCAGAAAATATAGGAAAATATGGGAAGTGGGGGGGAAGACAGAAACCCAGAAAATATAGGAAAATATGGGGACTATTTTTATTTGTGTGTATTTATTTGTGTGTCCTGGGGCCCCTTCACCAAAAGCGGGGTCCTCGGCGCCGGCGGCGGGCGCGCAGGCTGCCCGCCTGAGGTCGCGCGTCGGCGCCCTCGTCTCCCAATGGCATCGTGCGGCGCTGGCGGCCCGCGCAGGCCGCGGCGCGCGGTCGCTGCGCCAGCTCGCGCAGGACTTCTTATTGAGCGTCGCTCGTCCCAGCTTCGGCCTCCGAGGGCCTCTGCGCCCGTACCTCTGCGGCGAGCCCGGGAGGAAGCGAGGGGTGGCGGGCCTTGTTTTATCATGTAAAAATATAATAAAAAAAAGAAAAGCAGAAAAAAAAGGCTCGGAGTCCCTGGCCGTTTGAGGAGTTTTGCGCGCTTTCCCCGAGGGCACAAAACACTTTTTTTTGAGAAGGCGCGATGGCGTCCGAGAAGTCCCGCCGATTTTTGAAAATGCCTTCCCCTCTTTTTCTTCACACTTCCCCCCCACGCTTGCCGCCAACGGAAGAGAAGGAGGATGATGATGATGAGGAGGAGGAGGAGGAGGAGGAGGAGGAGGAGGAAGAGGAGGAGGACGAAGAGGAGGAAGACCAGGAGGAGGAGGAGGAGGAAAAGGAGGAAGAGGAGGAAAAGGAGGAGGAGGATAATGATGATAAGGATGATGATGACGATGATGATGATGCTGAGGAGGAGGAGGAGTCGGAGGAGGAGGAGGAGGAGGGGGAGGAGGAGGAGGCGGAGGAGGTTGAGGAGGGGGAGGAACAAGAGGAGGAGGAGGAGGGGGAGGAGGAGGAGGAGGAGGAGGAGGAGGAGGAGTAGGAGGAGGAGGAGGAGGAGGAGGAGGAGGAAGAGGAAGAGGAAGTGAGAAGGAGGAGGCAGAGGAGGATGGAAGAGGGAGGAGGGAAGGGGGATCTGGGTGGAGGAGGAGGAGGGGGAGGAGGGAGGAGGGAGGAGGAGGAGGGGAGGAGGAGGAGGAGGAGGAAGGAGGAAAAGGAGGAGAAGGAGGAGAAGGAGGAGAAGGAGGAAAAGGAGGAGGAGGAGGAGGAGGAGGGAGGAGGAGGAGGAGGAGGAGGAGGAGGAGGAGGAGGAAGAGGAGGAAGGAGAAGGAGGATGAGGACAACTCGCCGCCAATTACCACCTGCTTTTATTCAGTGCTTTGGCTGCATCGGCAGCTCCGGGGCCGCCAGGGCCAGCGCCAGCCCCGCCGGCAGCGCGAGCGCGCGCCGGCCAAGCGAGGGGCGGAGGCCTGGGGCCGAGCCGCCAGGCCCTGCCGCCCGCCCCACCGTTGGGGGGGCTCGGAGGGGGAGGAGGGGAAGGAGGGGGAGGAGGAGGAGGAGGAGGGGGAGGAGGAGGAGGAGGAGGAGGAGGAGGAGGAGGAGGAGGAGGAGGAGGAGGAGGAGGAGGAGGAGGTGGAGGATGAGGGGGAGGAGAGGAGGAGGAGGAGGAGGAGGAGGAGGAGGAGGAGGAGGAGGAGGAGGAGGAGGAGGAGGAGGGGAGGGGGAGGAGGAGAGGAGGAGGAGGAGGAGGAGGAGGAGGGAGGAGGAGGAGGAGGAGAGGAGGGGGAGGAGGAGGAGGAGGGGGAGGAGGGGGAGGAGGAGGAGGAGGAGGGTGAGGAGGAGGATGAGGGGGAGGAGGAGGAGGAGGGCAGGACGAGGTCCGGAGAAGGAGAGGGGGGATGGGGGGGGCACTGCGAGCTCCGCCGAAGAGCCTGACCCTGCACGGGGGCGGGCTTGGCTGGCCCGGGTGCCTCCTCGGGTTTCGGACCCGCCCCCGTGCATCTTTGGGTTACCTGTGGATGTTCGCGCTGCCCCCCCCCTCCCCCCCCCGAAAGGGGGGGGGCCCGCGCGCTTTTTCGCCCGCCCTCGCCCCGCCTGGTGCGCCGCCCGTCCCGCCGCGCGGACGCGCGAGGTAGTCGTCGTCGTCGTCGTCGCTGTCGTCGTCGTCGTCGTCGTCGCCGTCGTCGTCCTTGGCGCCCCTCCTTCTTCAGCCCCTGCTTCGGGCCCCAGGACCCTCGAATGTTGATCCAGGATGCAGCATTGCGGATGGACTTTCAGGAGATGTCCGGGGGCTGAACCCGGAAGGATTATGACCGGGAGGAGGTGGAGGTGGAGGAGGCTTCGGTGAGATTCGGCGGTCCAGCGAATGACCCTCGAGAGCACCCCCGATGCCGCCGCGGGCCATGGGGCACGACCTTGGGCACGACAGAACCTGGCGGACCCCCAGCCTTTCCCGCACGAGCTGATGACGGCGCCGTTCGGGCGCTGCTGGCAGTGCCCCTGGCCCAGGGTGCCCCCGAGGTTTCTCCCACGTTTGGCCGAAAAGCTGGGGGGCACCTTGGGCCAGAGCCACCTCTAGCAGCCCCCGAACCCTAGGTGAGAGAGGAACGGCGTGAGAGCTAATGACGCATGCTCCTGCTCCTGCTATCCGCGCCAACGCTGCCCCCAAACCAGCACCCCTCTGGCTATTTCGCTCGCGCGCCGCCTGCACCGCGCGCCCGCTGATCCCAGCATGGTAGCTGTGGAGGTCCCTGCCGCCGCTGTAACGGATGATGCTTGGCTTTCCCGCGCCTCTCGCACGAACGAATCTCTGCATTCAGCTGCTTCTGCGATCGCTGTTCTCGCACGCCCTGCCGCTTCTCGCACGGGTAGATTTTGGCATCTGAAGTGCCTATTGCCACTGCCTGCTTTTCTGCGCGAGCTGATCCCTGCACAGTAGCTGAAGGATCTTCTCCCAGGAGCCCATTGAAGCAGTGAGAGCATCCGCCAGCTCCCCTGCTGACCCCTGCGATGTAACTGATGGTTCTCTCCCACGATGGCCGCGTAGACGATGACAGTTGCGGCCATTTCCTGCCTTCTTTCGAGGTGGCCCCTGCACTGCAGCTGAAGATCCTCCCCCACAACCCCTTCCAGTGACACTACTGGGTCTGCTGCCGGTGCCTGCCTTCTCGCTCGAGCTGATCCTCGCATCGTAGCTGGCGATCCCTTCCCACGATCGCCGGATCTCGCCCGAGTTGATCCCTGCTCTGAAAGTGGGCATCCTCTCCCACGAGCTCCTTGTGGCACTGACTGCGTCTGCTGCCACGGCCTGCCTTCTCGCACGAGCTGGTCCTTTCTATGTAGCTGAGTAGTGTGGGCCCGTGGATCAAATCCACGGTGTGCTGAATCTGGGACTCACACGCCGTGGGTGGACAGCTCATCGACGTGGAACAGCTCGGGCGTCCGTGGGGCAGTGTCGGGACCGTCTTGGGTCCGTCGTGCCACAATGCACGAAAAGGGCCCCGAGAGGGTCCCCAAATGGCTCCAAGAGGGCCTCAGGACGCCGCCGGGCGCGGGCCCACCATTCTGCCGCGAGAGGCCTCTCTGTGGCAGAATGCACTTGGCCCTGTCTTGGAGGGGCCCGAGAGCCCCCAGAGGGCCGCAAGAGCCCCCCCAGGGGGCCCCCAGACGGCCCCAAACCGCACGTACTTGAAATGCTTCTTGGACTTGCGAGAGGGGCACCCAAGTACATGCGTCATGGGGCCGTGTCGGAACCCTCTGGGGGCCCTCCTGGGCTCCTCTAGGGGCCCTTCGGGAGCGTTCCCGCCCTGTGCTGGCCCCTTCTTGGGGCCGCCATGGGCGCCTGATGAGCCGTCCTGGCGCACTGTTGAGCCGTTTAGGAGCCCTCTTGGCAGCCTCCTGCGGCGTCTTGAGGCGGTCTTGGACTCTTGGCCGTCTTGGACTGTTCGAAGACGAAAAGCACGGGGACTCCTGAGATTTACGTTTGGGGTGTGTCCGGGGTGTGTGTCTTGGGTGTGTCTGGGGGTGTGTCTGGGGTGTGACCAGGTGTGTCTGGCGCGCGTCTGGGGAGTGTCTGGGGCGTGCCTGGGGTGTGTTTGGGGTGTGTCTGGGTTGTGTCTGGGTGTGATGTGTCTGGGGTGTGTCGGTGTGTGTGTGTGTGTGTGTGAGTGTGTCTGGGTGTCTCTGGAGTGTGTCTGGGGTGTGTCTGGTTGTGTTTGGGTTGTGTCAGGGGTGTGTCTGCGGTGTGTCAGCGGTGTGTCTGGGTGTGTCTGGGTGTGTCTGAGGTGTGCTTGGGATGTGTCTGGGGTGTGCTTGGGGTGTGTCTGGGTGTGTCTGGGGTGCTGGTCTGGGGTGTGTCTGGCGTGCGCTTGGCGTGCGTCTGGCGTGCGTCTGGGGTGTGCCTGGGGTGTGTCTGGGTGTGTCTGGGTGTGTCTGGGGTGTGTCTTGGTGTGTGCCTGGGGCGTGCCTGGCGTGTATTTGGGGTGTGCCTGGGTGTGCCTGGGGTGTGCCTGGATGTGTCTGGATGTGTCTGGGTGTGTCTGGGGTGTGTTTTGGGTGTGTCTGGGGTGTGCCTGGTTGTGTCTGGGTGTGTCTGGGGTGTGTTTTGGGTGTGTCTGGGGTGTGCCTGGTTGTGTCTGGGGTGTGCCTGGGTGGTGTGTCTGGGGTGTGTCTGGGGTGTGACTGAGTGTGTCTGGTTGTGCTTGGGGTGTGTCTGAGGTGTGCTTGGTGTGTTTGGATGTGCCTGGGGCGTGCCTGGGGTGTGCCTCGGGTGTGTCTGGGGTGTGTCTGGGTGTGCCTGGGATGTGTCTGGGGTGTGTCTGGGTGTGCCTGGTTTGTGTGTGTGTGTGTGTGTGTGTGTGTGTGTGTGTCTGGGGTGCGTTAGGGTCTGTCTGGGGTGTGTATGGGTGTGTCTGGGATGTGTCTGGGGATGTGTCTGGGGTGTGCCTGGGGAGTGTTTGGGGTATGGCTGGGTTGTGCCTGGGGGTGTGTATGGAACGTGTCTGCTGGCGTGCTTGTGTGCGTCTGTGGTGTGTCAAAAGTGTGTCTCTTGCGCATGGCCCTCGATTCCCTGTTGTGTGTTATCCCATGTACCCTAACTCGAAATGCGTTCACACTTCACCGCGCAGGCATGCGTGTACTGCAACATCCCAGCGGTACTACGCACAGGAGCCACACTTATACGCCAGGGTGCGTTCCAAGGTCCTCACCAGCGTACGCCAAAACAACATGTAAGTTTGAAAACCAACGTGCGTGTAGACACACTTTTCTGCTGTAGACGCATGCGTTTTCATGTGTCTACACGGGCCCGTTTGCTGAAGCCAAGGTGCAATTTCTTGAGGGCATTGCGCTTCTGGGATTTCGGCCGTAGAGTGAACAAGGGTTGTAAACGACTAGTGCGATCGGACGGTCCTCGTAGTCATCGTCGGAGCCGTCGTCGTCGGAGTAAAGCTCGTCAGAGTCATGGGAGTCGTCGTCGGCGTCGGGGTCAGAGACGTCGGGATTAGAGTCGGAGTCCTCGTAGCCGCGTAGCCAGAATCGCCAGAGACCTCGTGGTCGACATGTCGAGGTGTGTCTGGGGTGTGTTCGGGGTGTGTCTGTGTTGTGTTTGGGTGTGTCTGGGTTGTGTCTGGGGTGTGTTTGGGGTGTGTCTGGGTGTGTCTGGGTGTGTCTGGGGTGTGTCTGTGGGTATGCCTGGGGTGTGTCTGGGTGTGTCTGGTCGTGCCTGGGTGTGTCAGGGGTGTGTCTGGGGCGTGTTTGCGGCGTGTCTGGGGTGTGTCTGGGAGTGTCTGGGGTGTGTCTGGGTTGTGTCTGGGTGAATTTGGGGTGTGCCCGAGTGTCTGGGTGTGTCTGAGTGTGACTGGGGTGTGTTTGGGGTGTGTTTGGGGTGTGTCTGGGGTGTGTCTGGGGTGTGTTGGTGTGTCTGGGGTGTGTCTGTGTCTGGGGTGTGTCTGGGGTGTGTCTGGGCGTGTCTGGCTGTGTCTGGGTGTGCCTGGGGTGTGCCTGGGGTGTGGTGTGTTGGGTGTGTCTGGGGTGTGCTTGGGGTGTGTCTGGGGTGTGTCTGGGGTTGTGTATGGGAGTGTGTGTGTGTGTGTGGTGTGGTCTGGGTGTGTCTGGGGTGTGTCTGGGTATGTCTGGGGTGTGTCTGGGGCGTGTCTGGTGTCTGGGGTGTGTCTGGGGTGTGTCTGGGTGTGTCTGGGTGTGTGTGGGTGTGTCTGGGGTGTGTCTGGGGTGTGTCCGGGTGTGTCTGGGTTGTGTTTGGGGTGTGTTTGGGGTGTGTATGGGGCGTATCTGGGGCGTGTCTGGCGTGTGTCTGGCGTGTGTCTAGGGCGTGTCTGGGTGTGTCCGGGTGTGTCTGGGGTGTGTGTTGGGGTGTGTCTGGGGTGTGTCTGGGTGTGTCTGGGTGTGTCTGGGGTGTGTCTGGGTGCGTCTCGGGTGTGACTTGGTGTGTCTCGGGTGTGTCTGGTGTTTGTGTGGGTGTGTCTGGGTG